ATAAAATTTTGGATCAATTAAAGTTATTAACGGAACAAACAACTTGCTGTTCGGTTTCTGCCACTTGTAATTGATGCAAATAATTGTTATATTGCACAAAAATACGCAATCTAGATGGAAGCAATAGGGGGCTATTGTGCACACACACAATAACACTTGTATCGAATCAAAAGATCAAGCTTTTATTATTGTTTTGTTTGGGTCGACAGCCGATTCAGCATTTGAAAATCTGGACACTTGTCTAAGCGACTAAATGAGTTTTAAGGAAATACGTGGAACGAAGAGGGAAATAAAGTAACAGTGTTTTTGATAAAAAGGTGGATACCATATATGTATGTGTAAATATATCTATCACTACGTTTCGTTATCGTAACCGAGGTGGGGCTTCGATATCGATGAAGGCACCGAGAACCAGGTTTTTCTATCAGTTGCTTCAGGTATATATAAGGCCAGTGTGCACCTAAATGTTTGTTAGTGTTCCCATTACGTTTTATATCAAACTTATTCCCAATGTCCACGCAGTTTTCACAACATTTAACGGCCGAGCGAGCTCAAATTACACACAAGTGATCAAAGTTCTCAGAATCGATTTCAAAAAGTAATCGTTCACCCGTTTTACGAGAAATCTTCGAGTGCCGGTGAAATTACCTAGTGAAATATTAGAATTCAACTATAATTGTTACTAGTGAAACAGGTATACCAAGAATCGTTAATTAGAATATACGTCAGTTATCGACGAAATAGATTTCCCAGATTTAATCGATTCTACAGAATTTTCAATAGTTTTGTTTCTATTAAAAGTAACACGATTTTTTCTGTTAGTAAAAAAAAAAGAGAACTAACTTTGAGTAAGTATATCTGATTTTATAATCACCGCTGGCTACAACGTTATATTTACTAGTACAAGTTCGTGTCGTATAAAATAGAATACATTTTTTCGCATAACGTTTCACGGGTAACTGAAATTTGTTAAAAAAAATTTATAAATATATGCATACGATTTTGTCAGCTTTGATGGAGTTTTGCCCTCGTATGAAGGGGACACGTGTTTTCTATCTTTCATTATAAAAATTTCAATTGCAGTAGCGTATCGATCTCGGGCTAATAAGTCGAGGTAATATTTTTGCTCACAATTACGAACCACCGTGGATATCCTCGTGAAAGAAGTTCCTTAGTGACCGGCGACAAGAAGTTAATCCTCGATCAGACTGCATGGGCATTGTGCTATCTGCATGACTTGCAGTTGGAAGTGAGGATCTAGGCAGTGAGCAGAGCCGCTCTAGACAACTTGCCAGATCTAACTCTTCCAGCTCAAGGTCCTGCTGGTTATCATCTTTCCATAAGGAACGAATGTTTCACTCCAAAATCTAAATAACGTTTACGTGATGGGGTCACGGTCCAAGTGGAGAAGTGGTCTCTACGCTTTGAATGAAAGTGAGATTCAACTCCTCCAACTTACTCCTGACCTCTAATGTTCTTCGTGCCTTTCCTTCCCATATATATATATATATGTATATATATATGTATATATATATATATATATGATCAAAGAATAAAATATCTTATTATAAATACCGTATATGTACCTGGACTCTCGTATTATAAATACCTTATTTTATATGTATTTGCATTATCGCATTATAAATACCATACTCTCGACTTTTCATATTGTCTTCGATATGCATTTCTGCATAGATATATTTGCATGTAGTATATATGTAGATTGTGCGACTCTTTTTGAGCTGTTATCTTAAAAATGTGTTGAACTGCGAATAGCGTAAACTTTTATGCAGGCTTCTTTTTTTTATCGTATTTCTTTGTATGCATTGTATGTAGAGTACGTAAGTATAAATATTAGAAATTTTCGACTTGTTTTTAGCAATTTCCCGAAAATGTAAAATAATACTGTGAAATACTGCCTACGATGCTACGAATCTCCGAAATATTGTAAACAATAATCTATTTCATTCGAGTGTATCTATTGTTACGTTGTTTATATTTTGGTTATTTTTTTATTTAAATATATTTGACATCTTCCTTGTTCGTATTACTCTAAAACTATAATCTCACGTTCACCTACGACAGGGCTCGGAATTAAGTGCCCAATGTCGAGGGATACACCTCCTGATTCTCATCGCATGTCTCGCTCACCCGTTGTTGCTTCTTTCGGCTCGGAGCACATCAGGCGCGAGTGCCTGTTGCTTTATGTGAGTATATGTAGCATTTAAGCGACCACGGATGAGCGGGGCGCGCGATGGGAGTCAGGAGACGTAGCCTTCGAAAACGCCGTGTTGCGTGCACTTATTTTCGAGCCCTGATCTATGTAACCTGTCACTGTAAGTATAATCAAATTCTAATTACTCTTTGACATTCAAAATGAGTGTATAAAAACAGAGACAGATATACAATATAGTGCATTTTTCTACTAGTCAATCACTCAATGAAATGCATATAATTTTGATAAATAATTCGTTTGAAATTATTGCATGTAATTATTGTGAATACAATCTGTAGCTAATCAATATGTGAAGTATTGATAACATTCTAAAGCCATGACTTTCATATATTCTGAGGAAAAATCTTTTGAATACAGTAATTTGGCAACCTGCCTGTATAATCTTAATTTCGAATTCTTATAATACTCGAAAATAATTTGGGGATTGTTATGAAACTTTAACAAAGAAATTAAGAAGGTATATACAGGTAATTGTATCAGTGTAATCTTGGTTTGCTGTACTCGTCTGTATTTTATTCATTTCTTTATTAACATTTCACAACAATCTTCAAATCATTTTCTTATCATCTTATAAGAAGTTCATTAGAATATGAAATGAGAAAACTTAATTTAATATATTAGAGCTGTACTATCTACAACAAGGAAGGTAAGTACAGTAAGTTCTCCCTGATTCACGCTCAGATTGGGTGCAAAAATTGACAATTTGGGAAACGGAGATATGATTATTCGAGCCATACGTCTCGTTTTTATAATTGTTGACAATCGGTAACTATAAAAACGAGCTGCAAGGCTCGAATAATCGTATCTTCTCTTTCTAAATTGTCCACTTTTGTGCATAATCTGAGCGCGAATTAGGATAACATATTAGGAGCAATTAGGAGCAACATATTAAATTAAGTTACTTCATAGCTCTAGAAGTATTTTTGATTCATTGTTTCAGTTAATAAATCGTTCTTTCTGTGTCAGGGTTCCTTTAAATTTGTATTTTATCTTATTTTGTCTTGGTCGTTATCACACCCTCAAGATGTTTGGACGGAAGTAGCATCATACACTTAAACATTTGAATTAAAACTCCAGGTACAACAACGACCGTGACTAAGACACTTTATGAAAAGATTTTTCGGGAAATATATACCGTGGCAACGGAACGTGATCAGCTTAATTTATTCTGTGATTCAATTGGAAATTTTTTGAGTTAAAATAACATGGTTTAAGGAAAGTGTTAAGATGATTGTATCAAATTTTTTACCAACCCCCTTTTTCGGAGTTATCAAGGTAATCCATAGATAAACCTACAATTTTTGTTTAGATTCAAAAAATACCATATATTTTTTTATGGTACTTGCCAAATTCGTCTTAGCATCCCTTAAAAGATAGGTACAAAAAAATTATAGGTCAACCTGCCATTTATGCTTCGTAATAAAGAGTTGACCAAAAATTTGGCACAACCATCTAAAAGCTCTCCTTAAACCATGTTATTATTTTAGCTCAAAAAATTTCCAATTGAACCACTAGAAGCGGAATAAATTAAGCTGATCATGTTCCGTGGACCACTACTTTCAAATAAAACACCGTATCAAAATCGAATTAATTGTTTATGAGTTACGGAGGCACAGCAAACAACATACACAAGCGCCCGTGCGAGCAGAGAGAAGGGTTCACCCACACACATAAAGAGAAGTGTCCTTTTCACATCGAAAAGCTTCCAAATCTTGATATGAAACTTAAAATCTTCAAAGAATTTAAATTTATCAATATCTGAAAATATATATGTTTAATTAATGAAATATTAACTCTTTATCAAAACCAATAGCAAAGTTTCCCCATTTTCTTTTCTTTTAAGATTATATGATAAGAATCTTTGATTGATTATTTTAACAATAATTCTAATAATAGCAATAAAAAAACTTGTAACATCATGCGTGTTTCTATTTTTTTTTTTTTTTTAATATAATAAGTTCAAAATGAAAGATTTTAATTTTAAAAAATTAAACGCAGTGATATTAACTATTAAATATTATTATTTTATTAAACAATAATTAATCTCATATTGAGATCTT